TATCCTATCTGATCATGTCTTTTACGTATCACATTGTTGATAGGAAGTTATTATATCAGGACTTTTACACAAGAGGGAGTTGGTGTTTGTCCAAACACAAACAGTTAATATCCTATCTGATCATGTCTTTTACATATCACATTGTTGATAGGAAGTTATTATATCAGGACTTTTACACAAGAGGGAGTTGGTGTTTGTCCGAACACAAACAGTTAATACCCTATCTGATCTGTCTAGACATTTTTTAGGAATTGTTTCTATTTGAAAATTGAAAATACCGAATATATTTTATGACAAATCTCACACTCCTTAACATCAAATTTTCTTTATACAAATAACAATTTTTCATTAATGAATAAAAAAAAAAAACAACAACAACATGGCAAGAAATATAATTGGTAATTGTATTTTTAAACTAAATTATCTATAGAACTTTATCAGTAGTGTATCACGTTGTCTAGAAAGAGTAATGTTACACATGTTATCATGATTCCGTTCCATCATTTAGATAATAATGAAATAAATATGCGTCACATTATTAAAGCGTAGGCTGCATTTGGTGTAGGACTATCAGCGAAAGGTCTATACATCTAATGCTACAAACATCGAAACACCTCAAATAAATGCATTCTAGTGATCATTAATGAGATTGTTGGTTAATATACCAATGAATTTATCAAGCAAGATAATGCAACAAAGTATATACGACTACACCAAGTTTCAAGGTCTCCATTTAACATCTTTACAAAGTTTTTCCAAGATCATATTGTTATAATCGATTTAACTAAAGCATATAAAACCAACATGAAACCACCAAAAGATGCTCTCCAAAATTTTACCCACAGCTTTCCAGTCATAGTCAACAAGCCCAGCTTTGAAAACCCAAAAATTAAGACAAACTCCACACTCGACAAGTCACGATCTAGTAAACAACCACTCGTGCCTCATAGAATATCAGCAGTTTGCCCCCAATGAAGAAAGGTCCATTGTTGAACCTATGTGTTTTTCTAACATCATTATAAAACGTCAGGCCAAAGATGGTGTAACTGCATTAGGTTTCTTACTCTGCAACTATCAGACAGCAAACGGAATTGAATTTGTTTTATGCGTGTTTATGGCACAATAATTTGTTTTTCTTGGATGAAGAACACAAAGTTTTGTGAAGATTGTGACAACAAATCTCAGTTCATCTGAAACAGCTTACATACCTCCCACTGCCAAGGTATGGAGACACAGCCGGTGTTGAAACGACCGTAGAAGGTACTATCTGCAGCATCCAAGTTGACACCCTTAACAGTGGAAAACTGCTCGATATCCAACACATCTTTGGCATACACAGCATGAGGCTATGAAAAAAATAAAAATAAAAAAAGTTCAGACCAAAAAAAAAAATTTTACGCAATTCACACACAAAAAAATCTCATACAAACATTCGCAAACACATATTCTCCAAAAGAGTGCAAACTAGATCCCATAGAGTGTTTCTAGAAGATTCAACAGCTTAGAGCTAATAACAAATATGTTAAACTCATGATGATGGTTAAGGGATGACAATTTTAGTAGTTATAAAGCTGTGAAAAAGAGTTTGTTAAAGAAAATATACGATCGAAAGAGAAATCTACTCACATCAGGTACGAAAGGTGGATCGAGCATTCCTGCCTCTAATCTTTTCCAATTGATACACTGAAAGAAAAGGTGCTGTTTCAACTCTTGTGCACCATATCTTCCACTGTTGCATCCTAGCCTCTCCTTTGGATTTTTTTTGAGCAGCTGTGCAGTCAAAAGATTAACTTTCATTAGTAGTGTCGTAAAGTTTCAAGACCTCAAAATTTAGAGTTACCACTTTTCAAGTGTAGCACAACTCAAAAAATTAATTAACAAAGAAAACCCACATCATGTCTTCTCCATCACTTATAATCCAGTTCTAATCCAGATAAAAAAAAAAAAATTGGTCAGTAAAATTATTTACTAAATGTATGTTTAGACATATAGGATTAGCGTAAAATGTGCACGTAATGGTTCTCATTTACACAAGATACTATTTTTTCAGAAGCCTAAACTTTTACGTCTATATTTTAAGTATCTTTTAGGAGTTAAATATGTACTTGCAGTAATCTCTTTTTCATTATGATTTAAACTCAAGTCTTGTTATTGAAATTTTTATCTAAAAGAAAAACATACAGCTTGACAGATTGCCTTGGATTCTTCTCGAAATTTGCTGAAATATTTTTCTGCATCTTCTTTCACTCTCCTCTCCACCTCTTCTCGTTTAACTTTTTCCTTCCTAGCCCGAAATGGTGCCTAAAAGTAATAATTACTAAGCTAAAGTCAACTCACTGAATCATTCTTTATATAATTTACTTGTTGTTAGATACAACTCCAGAAAACATTACAAAGAAAGTTCAGAAAAAGAGAAAACAAAGATACGACACTTGTGAAAGTAATATTATGCATATATTTTACTTGTAATTCTTTAGAAACTAAACATAATAGCCTATCTGTCTGTGTCTACCACAGGAATCGACTCCCAAATTTTGCATGAGAGGATATACATAAAGTGAAGGACACATAATGAGTACAAAGTTGAAAAGTAGGCATGAGAGGATATACGTAAAGTGAAGGACACATAATGAGTACAAAGTTGAAAAGTAGGCATGAGAGAATATACATAAAGTGAAGGACACATAATGAGTACAAAGTTGAAAAGTAGGCATGAGAGGATATACGTAAAGTGAAGGACACATAATGAGTACAAAGTTGAAAAGTAGGCATGAGAGGATATACGTAAAGTGAAGGACACATAATGAGTACAAAGTTGAAAAGTAGGCATGAGAGAATATAGGTAAAGTGAAGGACACATAATGAGTACAAAGTTGAAAAGTAGACATGAGAGGATATACATAAAGTGAAGGACACATAATGAGTACAAAGTTGAAATGTAGTCACGAGGAAAAATGCCTCACCATTTTCGACTAGTTACATAGTATATACACTCTGATGAAGCTGAAGAAATTTGAAATGTCACAAATTTTTAAAATGCCTTAAAATAAACTTTTGGTATAGAATTGGCCAAAATCTTAGTGTTTAAAAAATATCATGTGATGTCCTGGAATAAAAAAACCATCTTTTTTGTCAGCGAATTGGGTAGTAGCTCAACCCAGCACTAGTAGACAGAGGTCATGTACTCTAGAGATTTTTGGTTCTAAAAGCTAGGTTCTCCTTTTGATTAAGAGATTTTTTTGCTGTAACTTAACTTTTATCAAATTTTCTTTTCTCAGTTTCTGTTCCTAAGAATCTGTTTAATATTTAGTAGTTTTTGTATCTTTTCTTAATTTTTCTTTTATTTTATATTTTAAATTTGTTTTCATTTTAGTATTTTTTTTTTTATTGTTTTCTACTCCTTAACCACCCGGCCATGTCGGGCCAACACACTCTGTAACTCAGTTACCCTTGCCTCCAGTTATGAAAGATAAAGAAATTCCTTAGTAATATTGGTTTTATTTAACCATTCATGAATCACCTTTTCTCATTGGTTTCCTGTTATTTCTTGCAAGACTCGATTGGTCGTCCCACGGTGAACTGCTCTCTTTATTAATAACATTTTTACTTTGTGACAAAACTGAACACTTCATAACACTTCAACTATTTATATTAATCATTTTTCTTACTTCAAGATTTGAGGGGTCATCCCATGCACTTCCCACTTCACAAGCTTAACACTTACCATAAAACCAACTTGTTCCAAAAGCAAAAACGGAAGTTTACACTTATCAAAAACTTGTTCCAAAGACAAAAAAAAAATCCACAGAAAATCTAACAAGAACACATAGTAAGTTTTCAGCTCAAATCCCATAACCAAAAATGAAAGTAAAACTAAGAACTCTTTATAAACTCTGTAAAGTTACAGCACTTCTAACCATAAAGGGTTTAGCATGACCTATTAGATTTCCAGATTCATCTTTTATAACAGTAAAGTTACAGCACTTCTAACCATAAATAAAGGGTTTAGCATGACCATTAGATTTCCAGATTCATCTTTTATAACAGTAAAGTTACAGCACTTCTAACCATAAATAAAGGGTTTAGCATGACCTATTAGATTTCCAGATTCATCTTTTATAACAGTAAAGTTACAGCACTTCTAACCATAAAGGGTTTAGCATGACCTATTAGATTTCCAGATTCATCTTTTATTACAGCATTCAAACATCTGAGAAAAAAAAAAAAATCACTTCAGGTTTCAAGGATACTGGAAACAAGGTCAGGTTAGTCACATAGCAGATTTAAAAAAAAGGCACCTTTGACCACTTCCACCTGATTTGTGAAGAAAGGTAACAATGGTTATCATCTTGCAATAAACCAGCAATCTAAAACTTCAGATCAAGAGCCTGCCAGATATTGAGAGCTAACCGATCATAGAGGTTGTTAAGTGTGCAACAAAATATGAATCGATAGACCAGACATTTCATACCAACTAACAGCATGCTCAAGTTGCACTGGAAACACATAATGACTTTTAACCAATTCCAAAGGAATATAGGTTTGGAATCATGTAGCAACTGACATAAATTATGCCTTGAACAGCCTGAAGTTTCACTGTGTAATGTTTTACTTATCAGTTATCACTTATAACTTGTGCACAAACAGACTTCAGTTGCTACAAGAACCTTTACGAACAACAAACAAGCAAGCACACGCGCATTCCCTCTAAAAAAAACACAAAAAAATGACAATACATTTCAAATAATTTTTGTATACAAAAAAAAGGGGGGTTCATGAAAAGCGGCAGGTTGAAAAGCCAACAGTTTTGATGGTTTCTCTTTTACTGTTTTGACGAGAGAAAGAAAACGGTGATAGCCGGCTTGAAACCTACTCCAGCAACAACTTTACCCGACTGCAGTGAGGTAAGAACAAAAATGGCAATGTACTTAGCATAAATAAAGATATATAATAGTGCTTCTACAGAAACTAAGAAAATCCTAAAAAAAGTAAAGGTAATGCTTAATGAAAGAAGAGAAATGAATGTAAAGAATAAAACAGTATGTAAATCAATTCTGACCTTCAGAAATGTACTCCGTGAAAGGCTGTGACATGCCCAAGGTGTGAGAGTTAATCATGTGGCTTTATTTTCGTGCGATTTACTGTCAACGATGAAACCTGTTAGAAGTTGGTTAGTGGACGGCTGTGTGAAAACATCATGTGGCTTTATTTTCGTGCGATTTACTGTCAACGATGAAACCTATTAGAAGTTGGTTAGTGGACGGCTGTGTGAAAACTGTTTTGATACAAAGTTTGAAGCAAAGAAGTTGTGCTTGTCTTGTGTATTCAGCAACCGGTCAAACCTCGTGTCCCGACAAAAAGAAAATCAAAACCTACAACTTGTGTTATGTATTGTGAAATCGTGTCTAAAGACAAAAAGATGTTTCTAAAAAAAAGTTTTAATTTTAATCACAAACGTACATATATAATTAATTACTTTTGGTGGAAAAACAACAAAAACAAATGCTATACTAATCTATAAAGTTTTCTGAAAAACAAAAATTATATATCTCTTACCCGTCCTTCTATCATTTCATAAATAAGACAACCCAAGCTGAACCAGTCAGGACTGTAGGTATACCTTTCATTGTCTATCACTTCAGGAGCTACCAGGAAAATAAAACTAATAAACAAAATGCTGCTTCTGGCCACAGTGGAATGGAAAATACAAGTTTTTATACCATAATTGTTTGAGAAGTTGATTCACTTTACATTTATAAAAACAGAACTTCAAAGTTTTAATAAATGTAGCATTTCAAATAATCACTCATTGGATAACACCAGTAACAATGTTCTGTATACCCTGCAAGTAAAACTCAGTAAGTCAACTAATAATATATTTCATAATGGCAAAATGTAATCAAATAATTATTGATAGTTACAATAATTCATAATTCAAAATAATGGTTGTATACTTAATATTTCTTATATTCTTTAGTTGGTAAGGTAAACATTTCAATTTCACCAAGAATTTTCAAAAATATTCACACACAAGTTTTTGTAATTTTTAACGATAGAAAGTTACTAAAGAAAATTTACAAAGTTCTTTTCTCTTTAGCTACCAATCATCCTGGGTCATTCCCCTATAGTATCACATGTGCTTTTTTGTGGAGAATATTTCTGTAAAGTAGAATATCCAAGGTGAAAGTAGACAATATTTTTTTCAACTGGTAGGTCAGGTGATACCTTGAGATTATCTCTGCTTTTGTATTTCTGTTGGAATGGGAAACATTGACATGGGAAGTGAAGAGATCACAAAATTCTTTTGTCTTTAATAAAAGCATTTTCTGCTGTGCAGTACCATCATCATTTTTTTTTTTGTGAGTAAAGATTACCTTTCACTTTACTTATATTGCATCTGCTTCAAAATCAGATTTCAGACTTACTCCATGATACATTTCCTGATCAAATCTCTAGTTATTTGCAGATACTATCAGAGAGGTAAATCAGAGTGTCTGAGAATAATAATATGACTTACCCATATATCCTACTGTGCCAACCCTCCCTTTAACTGTCTCTCCTTCTGGAATCTCTACAGCTAAACCAAGATCGGATATCCTTACGTGACCTTTATCGGAGTAAAAAATAAGGAAATATCAAGCAAGCAAGCAAGGTACGATTAAATATTAGAAATTACGGTATCAAATTCTAAATCCTGAACCTAAAAAATATTTGAGTAATTAAAAATCCAAAAGGGCATCAAATGTGAATATTATCGTTATTTTTTTTCACAAATTATTTTAAGATTAAAGCTTACTTCTTACACGTTAACAAGAAAACAACAAATACAAACTTGTGAAAACATATATGTACTCACCATGGTCGTCAAGAAGTATATTCTCTGGCTTTAGGTCCCTAAAATAAAAAAATGTTAACCTAAACTACTCACACCTAAAACCTTCAAAATTCACAACTTCCCAGAGATAATTCAATTTGTTAACACTATACTAAGTCAAAGTTAGGAACAAATGGCTCTGAAAATATTTAGTACACTGACGTACGTTTAGTTTAATAATTGTGTTCATAATTTCAGAAAATAATGATTAATTTAAATTTAAAAAAAAAAAAAAAAAGGAAATGCCTCTGATAATTAAAAATAATTTTTATTTGTATCATTATAAATAATTAAGTGACTCAGTGATTTTTTTTAGCCCAAGGAAATAAAATAAATTCATACATAGTGTACAATACATCACTGCTAATTCTTACCTCTATTACTACTACCCTAAATAGATATGTAAGTAACGTCCAAGAAAGAAAAGGTGTACAGCAGTGGTTTCCCCGACCATTTTGGTCTTAAGCCTCCCTCATGCATACCGTGTACAATCCGTGCTTCCCTCCTTCAACATTCAACACACATACAAACATGGGTGTGAGCAAGAAAAGGGGCACTGACTGAAATCATGTAACCCCACAGAAAGCCAGGCCCTAGTGGACCGCCCTGCTGTTTTTCTGGTTCTTCACTTTTGTCAAAATGTTTAAATCAAAAATTACCAAGACATGCTACATATTCTTTGTCCCAACTAAGCTATTATCTTGCCCCAAATAAGCTATTATCTTGCCCCAACTAAGCTATTATCTTGCCGAAATATTTTTCTGCATCTTCTTTCACTCTCCGCTCCACCTCTTCTCGTTTAACTTTTTCATTCGTAGCCCAAAATGGTGCCTAAGAGTAATGATTACTACACTGAAGTCAACTCACTGAATCATTCTTTAGACAATTTACTTGTTGTTAGATACAACTCCAGAAAACATTACAAAGAAGGTTCAGCTATTATCTTGTTAGCTATCACGTACTATAACATGTAGTGATCACTACAAAGGTACCAGCAGTAATCAAAATAGGGAGAAGGGCTAGAAAAATCTAAGGGAATAGGTCACGGTTAAATCCATTCTATGCCAAGAAAGCACATGGGATCCATTCGAATGGAGCCACATTCTCTCTGGACGACACGACAATCCATCTCATGAGATGTTTTTACGGTAAAAAAAAATTAAACTAAAGCTTAAATAAGGTATTTTTGAAGGAAAACTAAGGCATTTCAATGGTTAAAATTCTGTATTTAGTGAAACAAAAGTCTTATCTTGGATAAGATACAGGCTTCCAATCAATAATACCCTGAAAATAATTAAAAATTATGTATATAGCTATTTATATTATTTCAACACTAGCATCAATAAAGCTACTTGACACTGTTAGTACATTAATACAAACAAATAGTGTTCGCATTGGTGTCATGGCCCAAAATACTGATAACAGCAAGGGTTATGAATCATTTCTAATTATTGTACGTTTTTGTTGCGATCTAAATAGATACCTTGGTTTAGTTATCGACAACAATTATTAACTCACCTATAAACAATCCCGTGTGTATGCAAGTGTTCCAGCCCTTGAGTCACTTCAGCAGCATAAAACCTTGCCCTGTCCGCGTGAAACCCCGGTTCTCGGCCCATATTGTAGATGTGGAACTTCAGATCTCCCCCATTCATGATCGTTAGGATAAGACAAAGAGCATCTTTTGTCTCGTATGCATAGGCCAAACTAACCTGTAGTGGGAAAAATATGATGTCAAGGTCAATTCTACTGCTGAAGAATGAGAAAAGGATTTGTTTCTATTCAGCTTAATAAAAATGAGCGAAGACATAATTTCTGAGTCACCAAGTCACGACAAATCTAACTAACTAATAGTACCATCAGGGACGAGAACTGTATAACCTCAGTACTCGTCAGATCTTTTCAGCTCCCAGAGCCATAACTAGGCAACTTAGCCTAGTGCAGGCCATTATATCTGTACCCTCCCCCTCTGTTTGCCATGATAAGCCATTTACTGCCACTCACCACTTTACTGCTGGGGTGGCTACCTCAGTTATGGATCTGTTAATTTCAAACATCATTTATGTCACAATAACTAATACGTGCAACCGACATTAAGCCTACAACATTTCAGCCAAAAGGTTTTAGAACATTAAAGAACTCCCTGTTGAAAGCAGTCCATTTAAGTTCTCAGACCTACCACGTCTACTCTGCCTAAAGTTCCATTGAAAATCACTAGACTTACTGTTTCAGAACTGTCAGTGAGTTATACAAGTAACTAAAGTCGAGGTAACTTCTTAAAGAATCCTAACAAAATTCCTTTTGTTAATATCGGAAAGGAAGAAGAATCCAGCTCGATATTGGGTTGGATTTAAGAATTTTTTGTTCGTGTACGTGCACAATATTTGAAAAGTTTTTGTTTTTGTCTGAAATAAATAATCAAGTTATATTTCTTCAACAAATAAACAAGTCATCAACACTAAGATAATCCAGGAAAACCTACTTCTTTGATGTTCATAATCTCCTTTCTTACATTAGGAATGATTACAGTAGGTCTCTTTTTTTTCTTTTATCAATAAGTATTATTAACCCTTTCACTGTGGCTGGGATGTATATTTCCCAGTGCTCCTACTCCCTCACACTGTGACTGGGACAAATGTTTCCCATTGTTGACACTGTTTATGCCTTCCTCTGCTGGGTCCAGGTTCATCATCTTGACTATCATCACTAGATGGAGTGCTAGCATCCTCTTGTTCCATTGCCTCTTCATCATCGTGCATTTGAACACCACTTTACTCACTTTCACTATCTTCTAAGCTATCCAAGTCAAGCACGTCAAACATATTTATATAATAACGAAAGTTTCTACTCGCCACTCTATGCAGCCACGGTCAGCACGCAGTTGTTATATTTATATAGTAATGAGGGTTTCTATTCGCCACTCTATGCAGCCACAGTCAACACGCAGTTGTTATATTTATATAGTAATGAGGGTTTCTACTCGCCACTCTATGCAGCCACGGTCAGCACGCAGTTGTTATATTTATACAGTAATGAGGGTTTCTACTCGCCACTCTATGCAGCCACGGTCAACACGCAGTTGTTATATTTATATAGTAATGAGGGTTACTACTCGCCACTCTATGCAGCCACGGTCAACACGCAATTGTTATGTTTATATAGTAATGAGGGTTACTACTCGCCACTCTATGCAGCCACGGTCAGCATGAAGTTCTTATATTTATATAGTAATGATGGTTACTACTCGCCACGGTCAGCACGCAGTTGTTATATTTATATAGTAATGAGGGTTTCTACTCGCCACTCTATGCAGCCACGGTCAGCCTGCAGTTGTTATATTTATATAGTAATGAGAGTTACTACTCGCCACTCCATGCAGCCACGGTCAGCACGCAGTTGTTATATTTATATAGTAATGATGATTACTACTCGCCACTCTATGCAGCCACGGTCAGCACGCAGTTGTTATATTTATATAGTAATGAGGGTTACTACTCGCCACTCTATGCAGCCACGGTCAGCACGCAGTTGTTATATTTATATAGTAATGAGGGTTACTACTCGCCACTCTATGCAGCCACGGTCAGCACGCAGTTGTTATATTTATATAGTAACGAGGGTTTCTACTCACCACTCTATGCAACCACGGTCAACATGCAGTTGTTATATTTATATAGTAATGAGGGTTACTACTTGCCACTCTATGCAGCCACGGTCAACACGCAGTTATTATATTTACATAATAATGAGGGTTTCTGCTCGCCACTCTATGCAGCCACGGTCAGCACGCAGTTGTTTTACATTCCATGTAGGCATCTTGTTGGTTGCTGAGTGGAAAACATTGAGAGAAACCATACATCAACACTAGGAGGGATGTCAATAAATACTTTCCAACTCATTTTACTCCCATACATCACCATACGGCAATTTTGAATGACAATGGGAAACATTTGGCCCAGTCGCAATGTGAGGGAGGTGGGAGCACTGGGAAATATATGTCCCAGCCACAGTGAAAGGGTTAAAATCATTTGTTTGTAACAACTACTATGTCATCTTATTTTACGTAAATAACTTACATAGAATATAGATAGAACTTTGTAGTAGTTACAGGCTAAACTTTCTTGTTTGACTAACCATCATATTGTAATTATAGCACCAAAGACATGTATAGAGTCTGTATATAAACTAAAACAAAGAGTCATACATTATGGCATCTCTTTACATTTTTTAAAGCTGTTTCCAATGTTTAAATGTGATGTCTCCGAATGAAGTACAAAATGTGAAAATATACACAATTACTCACCACAAACCTCGAGTTGACTTTCTGAAGAACCTGCTTTTCTGTGAGAACCATAGACTCTCCTCTCCTCTTTTTCAAACGCTTCTTCTCTAACTTTTTACATGCATACATCTTCCCCGTAGAACGCACCTGGCAAGCACACACTTCTCCAAACCCACCTTTTCCCAACACTCTGTACATTCGGAAAGTTTTGGCTGTCACTGGTTGGCTGTATTGGATAAAACGAGACAATACTGAATACTTTAAGTTTTGAGCAATACTAACTCATAATTTCTACCACTTTAATTTGTGGTTATCAAATTTTGGCATTAACAAATTATGAAACATGATCTTAAAAATAAGTACCAAAAATTATCGAAAAGAACCAAAGTAACGTCTCAAAGTTTTCTGACAGCATAAAGAGAGTTGCCTCGTTTATAATTATATTTTATTTTCTTTATTTTAATTTAGTTTAAAAAAAAATCGAACAGTATTAAAGTGAAAGGGAAAAAATATGATACGGTCATGGTAACCATATCAATCTTGTAAACAACAGTATTCACAGTATATTTTGATCCTTTTTTTGTTTGTTTATTTGTTAGTGGTTAAGCACAAAGCTATACAATTGGCTGTCTGTGCTTTGCCCACCATGGGTGACGATACCCAATTCTTAGTATTATAAACCTCGGACTTACCTCTGATACCCAATTCTTAGTATTATAAACCTCGGACTTACCTCTGAACCATTGCGAAGCTATATTTTGAAACTAGATTGGGTAACAATCACTACGTCACACACAAGAAACTAATGTTAAAATCACAATTATACTGATAAATATTCAAAAGTAAATATTTTTATTATTTTTGCAAACATTCTTTTTTGATAGTCATTAAAAACAATTATCACATTTAGCTGTAAAGTCTGCGTATTCTACCGTTATATATCCACATATTAAAAGCAATCTTTACTTTTGTAAAACAACACTAGGGGTTTGTTGCTTACTAACACACAATCAGTATACAACAGATTATTTTAAATATGAAGTTTAATGTGAAAGATTTGTATATTAAAGAGAAGATAGATAATAATTACTTTTGTTACTTGACTAAACAGACCAATAGAGGTGTATATGCAACCTAGGTGGACTTGTATAACATAAGCATATTGAAGTAAATTAAGTTTCATTTATAGAACCATGCAACCATTAGAGAAAATTTAATTACATTTTTTATTTACATACATCTGTCCAACTGCTAGGTTAGTTGTTCAATTATCTCTCTTTATTATAATTATCCGTTCTCAGTTGTAGTCGATATTACAATCAAGTTCTTCTACATCAAAGTTTATTGCTTCTTCGAGGAAGCCCAACCCCCTCCCCCGTGGCTCACCGATGCGGCAGAAAGCTTATGATGCTAAAGAACAGGTTTCAATACTCGTCGTGGGCACAGACAGTTAGCCCATGGTGCAGTTTAACAGCAAATAAACAAATTCTCAAGGAATGTGAATGACCTAGCTATTAATATTGGGTCCGTCTCAAAGTTCATCCTTCGGAGATTGTTTATAAGTTTGGCCGGTGAGTAACAGTACCTAGTTTCCATGCTCACGTGGGAAAGTCTTGTATTCTTTAAATACTACACAAATAAATATAATAATTCACAGACTACTAACCTTTCTAACCATTTCCACTGAAGGTATCGGAGGAAGTACATGCTGTTCTCAAACTCCTGAAATGGTTGTCCAGCTAGGTAATCTTTCACTGCACTGAAATGTGAGATAACGAAGGAGATATTTTTTTTTCTTTCTTTTAAATAACCTGAAACCACACTTTTAAGATTAAAAAAAAATTTTTTTCTTTTCTTTCTTTTGCTCTGATGCTAAAACTGGATGACGAACTCTAATATTTTATGGTTTGAATTATTAAACTCCCAATGCACATTTCTTGGGTGAAAATGGAAGTTATGTCTTTCTCCATTTTGCTATTTAATTACAAACAGCCAAACTATTAAACACTTATCTCGCTAAAAACAATTTTAAAGATCTCCAACTTTAATTCAGTTCCTTACAGTTTTGACATTGTTTTTTTTTCAACACTGTAATGTCAATAATGATTGCCAGTAAGTGGGTGATATTTGTTTCTTATACTAGGATGTTTCTAAAAATTATTGGAAATTGAAAGAACTATTCTTAATTTTACCAGTTGCAACAACTTGCTCCTACTCTAGCTGTATTTTTATTTTTTTTTGAGAAATGTAAAACATCTAGTTAATGAGAAATGACTTATGTTAATATATAAAGTTAAAAGTTCCATGTTATTGTTTTTTGTTCCTCGTAACTCTCTGGCACTTACGTAGTTACTACTGTTGACGTATGAACTCCAAAAGGTGCTACACATCATAACAGTTTATAGTAATTAGGGTTCAGCTTTGCCTACCCCTTCAAGATTTTTTCTGAAATGGTGACACTGCTAGATGCCAAAACAAGACTTAAGATAAACTGAAATCAATAACAACGTCGTATTCATTTCTATTTTACATGCTAGAAAAAAACTTTTGCCACTAACAAATTTGATTTTTGTATTAAAAAATAAGGGGGGGGGGGGGAGAAGACATACATTAGTATATAGAATTTTATCAAAATTTCACTAATATGTTTTTGGCTATAATGAACTAAATACATTTGAAGGATTCCTTGGCACTCGAAGAATTTCCTCCCAAAGTTTGAGATAAAATTGTTCATACGTCAACTTTTTCAGACTCACTCACTCAGACAAATAGAGATAGAAAGATGCTGTTTATATATATATACACGCACAACTTTGGCCTATTGATTTCTAATGCTTTGTCTACTTTTGGCATTTAAATCGTGACTTTAGGGGGTATTATACTGCATTTATAAAAAGTATTTCAGAGAATCTTTTCTCTCTCTTTTTGTCTGCTTCAAGTAGCGAGTTCTGGTTTGGAATAAAAGGCCTCTTGAACAAGTGACCTGTGAATAACAGAAGATAGACATGACATGCTACTTTTACATGAAACTGAACAGGAGATAGACATGACATGCTACTTTTACATGAAACCTGAACAGGTGATAGACATGACATGCTACTTTTACATGAAACCGAACAGGAGATAG